CAGCAGGTGCAATGCAGTAACCTGCTTGTGAAGGCTTGTTTTGACTCTCTGCTGGTTTAAATGACTTTAAAATAAATAAATGTGATGGAACTGATACCATTAAAAATGACTCACTGAACTTACCCAAAGCTGAGAGCTGCTTGGCTGGGGATGGGCATTACTGGCAGATTCCCATGTCTAGCTCATCTTTGTGGTTATTGAATCAGAAGTTTGTGTCTTTATAAAATCTGTTTTGTGAAGCCATGCTCATAGGTGAGATGAGATTCATATTAAAACCATGTAGCATGGTCCTGTTAAATTCATCAAGAGTGTCTGTGAGAATTGGGTGGAATCTGGGGTCTTCAAGCCTGTGCAGCAATCACTGCTTAGACACTAGGTACAGGAGATCTCAGCTGGAACCTATGAACCCTTGTGCTGTCTCTGAGAAGGCAGCTGCACTGTGTGATTCTACTCTGCTTTCCTTCAACAGGTTCACTCTTGCTTGAAAGTTTAAAAGACCATATATCAACGACTGCCCAAGATCACTGCAAAGCCATCTACCTGCATGTCCTCACCACTAACAACACAGCAATAAACTTCTATGAAAACAGAGACTTTAAACAGCACCACTATCTTCCCTATTATTATTCCATCAGAGGGGTCCTCAAAGATGGCTTTACCTACGTCCTGTACATCAATGGCGGACATCCACCCTGGACAATCTTATATCCTTTGCCTTCAGTCTGATTAGCAGTGGAACACAATAAACAGACACCACACTATGGTTTAGGTTAAAAATGACAATCTAGCAAAGTGTGACCTGGCGAGATCTGGGTACTAATGCCTGCTCAGATGTGAGTTTAATCTGAAGCTGGAAGGAAGGTGATGTTAGAGGGACTTGACAGTGACCTGCTTGTGCACCAGCTCCCCCGACTCCTCTGGGAACAGTTCAGGGAGGCAGTGTAGGATGGTACATTGAATTCTAAGTTTGATGCCAGTGATAGTGAATGCTGGTGTTAAGCCAGAGTGCTAGGTGTGCTCTGGCTTGCGTGCTGCAGGATTTGTCCAGCAGCATGGCAGAGAAGCCCTTAGTCTTGTTTCCTGTGGCCTAGGATCCTCTGTGACCCTGGCCTGGCCTGGATCTCAGCAGACTGATCTCAAACTGACTTTGGGAGTTTATTTCAGGTTGTTGGATCATGGAGAAGAAACCTGGTCATTCCCGGCTGTAGCTAGTCAGTCCAGACCGCTCCAGGCAGGTGGATAGATCGCCATCCCCACAGGAACTTGCTGTGGAGTGCAAAGGGAACTAGCAGCTGCTTAGAGGAGGTATTTCCCACACAAGTTGGAGCGAGTGTTCCCAAATTGCCTTCTTTTATGGTGCAAAGCAGCCCTGCTTTTTAATCAAGGAGCAGCTCTGTCTGTCTAACTGAGCAAAGCAGCTTTCCCTGTATCATGGGGTCTTTTTAGGGAGTGCTAGTCCACAGAGTATTTTAAGTTATTTCTTAAGTTACAGTGTAAATGTCGCTGTCCTTAACTGATGGCCACTGACTACCTACAGCACATTGGATCAACGCTAGCCAGCCTGAGCCCGTGTTCAATTCCCCAGAGGATATATCGACAAGCCCAGAGCCTTCTCTGCAGCCTTCTGCCCTGGTCTGGCATTTCTGCCAAGAGCGGCATCGAATATAGCCGGACAATGTGACTGGATCAGAAGATGTACAAAAAGCAAAGGTAGGTACCTGGGGGGAAGCTCCCTTCTCTGCCTGGGCTGGCAGTGACACAGTGGTGATGCTCCATGGCTGCTGTCTTGGGGCAGCTGGGAGCGTGCTCAAGCAAGGGCTGTCAGAGCTGCAGCTCTGCTGCTGGGCAAGTTGCCGTGTGTCTGGGGCATCATTGTGCTCCAGTCTCTAGCTGGTGGCTGAAATTCTGTTGGTTTCATTTGAAGGGAATTTGAACTCTGATCTTGTTTACTTGAGTCCAGAGCCTGAGAGCAGATTGAACCTGTCCCTGCTGTCTCTCTCATTTTCCCAGCTCTGTTAGACCAGCTTGCAAGACTGAGTGACCGAATCCTCGCTCTTTCCCCAGCTCAGTGTCCCCGCACAGTAAATGACAGCCCATTTGCTGCCAGTTGCATTGCAGGTCTCTGACAACAAGGTCTTTGGGCCATGGCTCCCCAGTATGCTTGAAGAGACCTGTAACACCTGGTTTCCCTAAGACAGCTGACCTCTTTGTCTTTCTTTAGGATTGTTCTTCCTTTCATCTCCTGAACCATCCGGCTGTGCACAGATTCCAGTGATGACGGCTCTTGGTCAGTGACCCAGCCCCTAGGTGGGACTCCTGGTTCCACAGGTTGACTGAGATTTGGCAGAATTCACACTTGATGGGCTGCAGCCCTGACTTACCCCCGTGGCCTGGAGCCTGCAAGTGCTGCCTGGGCAGGCCTGGCTGTCGTGAGGCATCTGGCTGCGCTGTAGCTGAGGGCCCTTTATGTCACCAGTCTGTGTGCATGTTGCACTGTCCCCACCACTTCCCTTGCCTCTGGTTTGCTCCTATTCGTATACGTGATGTAGAGGGGTTCAGTTGCTGCTTCCCCACCATGGCTACTGAAAGCAGCATGAATGAGGTTAATGAATCTGCACTGACAAACCATGTAAATGAGCTGTAACCACCCTGGCAGGCTACTGCTGGCAGAATATACAGTCCTGTCCGTGTTGCAGGGGAAGGTGGGAGCTGGGTGAGGGGAAGTAGGAAGCGAGGATTGTGTCTGGGTCCTGCCAAGTCAGCTGCTGCCACTGGTGCTTCCTGTGGGTAACTTCCAGGGAGGGTAACTGCCTCGCATGAGAAACTGCCCAGCCTCACCAGCCCTCTGGAGTGGCTTAAGAAGAAGCATTTAATTCAGGATGCATCAAGTAGAAGGCAGGGAATGAAATTGCTATTTCATAGTGAAATATATATATTATACTGTATAGATCTTTCTGCCTTTGTCCAAGTTGCAGTGTAGCAGGGGAGGGGAGGGGAGAGGAGCTGGGGGTGTAGAGCCGCTGCTGCAGCCAGAGCCCTTCTCCTCCCCTGCATGCACCCTCCTGTGGCGCTGGGGCTGGACTCTTGCAGGATCTGTGCACTGATCACAACAGCTTTTCCTTGCTGAAGAAAAGCTCCCCCAGCTGCTCACTGGTGTGCTTCAGGCCATTGTCTGGGCATCACCGCAGGGCCGTGCTGGTCGACAGCCTCCCTGCGGTTCTCCAGGAGCCTCCTGGCCTGGCTGTGGGACCCTGTGGCTGTGCCAGCCTGGGACTGTGTCTCAGCTCACCAGCAGTTAACTTCCAGCCTGTGTGGAGGCCCTAATGGTGGGAGTCTCTGTACCTCGCCCAGCCTGGGCACATGTCAGAGGTGCAGGTATCCCTGTGCCCTGCCTAGGTCCCATTACAAATCCCCCTTCCCTGGCCGAGGCTCTTCCCCTGCTCAGCACTATGTTTGTCATTCCCCTCTCATTTTGAAACTGGGACTTGAGGAAAGGAGGTCTAAGCCACAGCTGGTGCCTGTACATGCAGGCAGTGCCAGCGCTGGCCGTGGGTGTGGGCAGGGTGTGGTGGTGAGACACAATACAGGTCAGGCTTAGATGAGAAAGAAAACACGTTAAGATCTTGCAGCCCGAATGACGGTACAAAGTCATTTCAGTGTCTGTCAGCCCTAGAGGTGGGACTTTTAATTAATAAAAGGGTGCAGGAGGTGAGCTTGCTGTGCGTGGCACTATGCTGCTTCCCAAGAAGGGTGGCTGTGATTAGCTCCCCACGGCTGGCACTGCGTGCTGCCGCTCAGCTCCAAGGTGGCTTTGGCACAGAAAGCCCTGGTGAGCACAGCTTCCCCTCGCAGCCCTGGCTGGCCCTGCAGCCCGGACTGCATGAAGCAGCCCCAGGGGCCGGCACATAGTGTGTTTTGGAGCAGCACCAGGCTGTTCTGCTGGGAGGTGCTGGTCCCTCTGCTGGGGCTTAAAGAGGTTGAGCACAATGACTGTTTGATGCAAGGAAAAGAAAAAAAAAAAAAAGGTGTCTCCATGAGGACAGTCAGGCTCTGAGCTGTTGGAGAGGCCATCCCCAGAGACCTTCAAGCACCAAAAAGCCAGGGCTGTGTTTGGCCTTGCTCTGAGACTGTTGGAGCAGAGCACTCCAGAAGCTCCTTCCAATCTATACATCTCTGGTTCCCCTTCAGTTTAGAAGTGCAAGCGGCACTGTGCAGTCAGCTGTGCTGGCTGCAAAGTTGCAGCCGCTGTGGAAATGTTCCAGCCGCTGCTCTGTGTGCAGCAGGCAGGATGGGTAAGGCCCAAGGGACACAGGTTTGTGGCAGATGACATGCGATGGGGCAGGGAGCTGCAGGCGGAGCTGGGGCTGCTGCTCGCAGCTTTGGCCAAGGTGCCTCTCTTGGGGTTTTAGCTGGGCCATGAGGTGGAAGAGAACCTCTGCCACCTGCGGCTGGGGCACCAAGATAGTGTGGTGGGTTCGCAGCCCACTGCTGCTGAAGTGCCCCCTGCGGGGCTGCGCGCTCCTGCCT